AATAATAATATATTTATTGAGTTATTGTGTGGGTACACTTACTCTAGTCAAGTCTCATACATATGTAATTAACAGACACAAAGGTATATAAAAAGTACATACAAGTACAACAAAGAGACATGCATATTCCTTACTCAATTCTGCGACAGTGACTTATAAACTCGTCAAATGAATAGAAAGCATTTTCTATAAGTACCTTTTTGATAGAAGTTTTAAATAACTTTAAAGGAAGTATTTTTATATGTGCGGGAATACAATTATACAATACCTGTGATTGATAAGTCAAACCATTTCGAGTTTTTGTTAGTCTACAAAAAGGTAGCCTTATGTTGTCTTTTTGCCTGGTGTTATACGAGTGTACATCTGATTGAAGGACAGTTGAGACCATATTACTTTTGACTAGACATACTACTTGCAAAATATATAAGCAAGGGAATGTCATAATTTTTAAAGTGATAAATGAGACACGGCAGTCGTCTCTATAGTTTAAACCAGAGAGCACTCGTACGGCTTTCCGTTGCAAACGGAATACACTGGACCAGTGGGAACTGTGTCCCCATGCCAAAATTGCATATGATAACGTACTTTGTATAAGTGCGTAATAAGCAGTTTTCATTACCTTTAAGGATACATTGTTTTGCAATTTCCTTAATAAAAAAAGTGATTTATTCATTTTTTTAATAATGTTAGTACACTGCACATGAAAATTAAGCTGTGGATCTATTACACAACCCAAGAGGGACATTTCCCTTGTTGCAAGATAGGGGTCGGTCGTTCTTAATGATAGGGGCATTATAACTGTTTTTGATTCATTCAGTAGTAGCTTATTGTCTATACACCAATTTGTAACGATTTCGATGGCACTTCGAGTATATGACAGAGCAATACTGAAGTCATCGTTACATGATAGCAAGGTTGCGTCATCAGCATAAAGAATGCAATCCATGTGTTTAGGCAACACCGTGGGCATATCGTTTATATATATTAAAAATAACAGGGGGCCGAGTATAGACCCCTGTGGAACTCCCCGTGTTACAGGTAATGTCGGAGAAATAGTCTGATTCACGCGCACACACTGGAACCTATTGATTAAATATGATTTAATTAGTGCTAAGCTTGAATCATTAAAGTGGTACACGTATTGTAATTTACGAACTAATAGATTGTGGTCGACACAATCGAATGCCTTAGATAAATTGATAAATGCCGCTACCAAATGCTGACCTCTTTCAAAACATTCGTAGGCATTATTAACGAAGGTAATAATTGCATCAGAAGTTCCACGTCCTTTCCTAAATCCAAACTGTTTGCGGTAAAATAGAGCACTATTTTCGAAAAAGTGGTTCATTTGCTTGTATAGGACTCTCTCTAATACTTTGCTGAACACAGGAAGAATCGAAATTGGTCGGTAGTTGTTCAAATTGTTGGTGTCGTCACCTTTTTTAAACAGGGGCAAGACTACTGCTATTTTAAAACAGTCCGGAAAAATTCCGGTCGATATAGCAAGATTCACTAATCTGGTTAGTGGTCTTACAAGCACATCAATGTTACGCTTAATCACTTGAGTATTGAGACCAAAAAAGTCTTTCGTGTTGCTGTTCCGCAGGCTGGAGATGGTATCACGTACTTCCGTTTGCGAAACACAATTAAACTCAAATTTTAAACCTAATGGAACATTAGTAATCTTACAATGATCTATGGGGTCTTTTTTGCTACTAGGAAGACTAGATAGAATTTGGTCTGTGACGCTTGAAAAGAAATAATTAAAATCATCGGCAGTTAAATTGCATTGTGGGTTCGTATTAGAAATTCTTTCAGAATTTATAATGGACCACATTGCTTTTGTGGAATTTCCAGATACAGCAATGTGCTGATCGTTAGCTGCTATTTTAGCCAATTTTATTTGATTTCGATAAGTTGCAGTCCAAGACTTCTTAATTTCAAGTAAACTCTGCGTGCGATATTTCGCATAGAGACCACTAATTAACTGAACATTGTCTCTTAATCTTCTAAGATTGTCATTAAACCAGTTGAATCTATATCTACCCGAATATTTGTTTCGTTTGTCTCTTACAAGCGGAAAGCAAGTCAAATAACATTCATGAAAAAACTTAATGAAATCAGAAAAACATTGGTTACAATCACCTGTATCACTAATAATGTCTTTCCAATCACAATTGTAAAGTTTATCGAACAACATGTACATACCAACTTGGGTGATTGGTCGATGCAGTTTAGTTGCGTAATAGTTCCTAAGATCTTTTTCAAAATGATTCAGTACAAGCAGCTGCCCTAGATGGTCAGCAAGGCCGGTGTTTATTGTAGTACTACTGAAATCAAAAACACTAAAATTTGAAAAAATATTGTCTATGCAATTTGCTCCGCGAGTAGCCGAGAAGATTGTTCGTATAAAACCATTACTTTCTAATAAATCACCGATAATGGTTGCTCTCTTATCGACAGAAAAGTGCACATTAAAGTCACCCGCTAAAACAACATTAAAATTAACAATCTTTTCGAGTACTAACTCTAAAATGTCATAAAATTTCTTAAAATCCCCATTGGGCGATCTATATACACATATAACTACAGTATTAGAATTAACTTGCACACAACAAATTTCCGCATGCGTTTCTTCAGAGAGGTCATTAATGAATTTAAGTGGTTTCACACACGCACTTTCCTTTGTAAAAATTAACACTCCACCATGTTTACGCGAAGGTCTACAGTAGAAAGATCCTACTGACCATTGACCAAATTTAAGAGCGGTAATTTGGTCAGTATCAGTAATCCAATGTTCACTTACACATATACAATCCAATTCCTTGTCGGCAACAAATGCTTCCAATTGGTTCAATTTGTTAATAATTGACTGAATATTTATATGAAATATGGATAATTTTTTATGAGATAAAGATGGTGAGGTCAGGTGTTCATTGTTGTTTGGGATCTCCGGAAGAAAAAACGATTTACTCGTGTACCCTGCGGCCAAACTCCTGGGTCCATGATCTTCTCTAAATCCGACAATTGTACGGTCACTTTGAAGGACGAGTAGTCTTTGGCATATTTTGACTGCAGTTTTTCGCAACACACGTCGGGAAACGTTGGCTGAAGATAACGTTGCAGCATGTCAACAGTCGTTCCTGGATCAAGCTTATACACATGAAGATACGCACGAGGAACTATTGCCTTGATTGTACAGTAGCTGGGATCAACATTGTTGCTGCCAATAATAGCAGCCCGTTTAGATTTTTTGTGCGTAACAGTTTTCCATTCCTTTTGAGTGGTATTGGTAGGTGCCTCATGCAGAACTTTAGCATACGATGCAGGTTCAGCGAGAACTTTTACATCGCTCTTAGAAGAGACTGGAGGGTCTCCATTAAGCGCAGAAGTAGATCCTTTGTCAGCTAATTTAGTAGTTGATGCATGGTTATTAGCAGATGCTTTTGGCTTAGGTTTCGCTACCTCCGAACGGGAGGAATTCTTATCATTGACGGATCCATTAGAGGTTTGAAGCTTATTTAGAAGTATAACTTGACTTTGGAGTGCATTAATTGCTATTGTTTGGTTACTTATTACTTTATCCTTTTCCGTTAATTAATTCCTTTAGAAATTTAATTTCAATTTCGTACAGTTTAACAGAGATTATTTTATTTTCAACGTACAGGTTATCGTCAGATTGCGCCGCACTGTCACTTTCACAACAGATTATTCGTTTGTCGTCAACTATTTTCACATGTTTAATGTGTTTAGCACATCCTGGATGATAAATCGCATTACACACATCACACTTCACATATGTTTGGGGCACTTTACTGCATCTTTTACAGTTTTTACTACTGAGCAATTCCGGTACGTCCGTACCGCCCGCCATACCTCGACGAATCTAATTGAACGAATTGAACCTAAACAGCGGTTAGCAGTTTGCTTGAGGTGAGTATTTTGTTCGTATATTTTTTGCATGAAGTAGGTCTAAATATATCCACTCTGATTACAAGTAATATATGGCCGCTCTATTAACGTTTATTTGAAAAAAAAACCTTGTCATACATATTACATTTATGATTTAATACCATGGTGGCTGGTGGTGTTGGTCGCTCTGCTGCATTTCTGATTGAGTAGCGTTATTATATTCTGGAGAAGGCAGTGGTAGATTGTATTGAGGGGAAGGAAGTGGGGTGGAAGCATAAGAAGAACTAGGTGAAGAGTAAGTACTTAGTGGTGACGCTTGAGGTACGTGAACAACTCGAACTTGGGAAGGTAGCACAACCTTTGACTGATTATCCAGGAGTTGCTTTCTTTCCAGCTCTTGAACGATGCCAAAAATCTTTGTCTTCCCTTCATTTAAGAGTATTGGATTCAGGGCTTTCAATGTGTGTGATACGCCGTTTAAAAATGCATCAACTGGATGAAGCTGCTCAGAAGATGGAGGTTGCTTCTGCCTTTCATTTCTCTTTTCTTCCAAAATATATGACATCAGCTGAGATGAAGCACTTTGATCTTGACGTTTATCGATTGTGTTAGCAGAAATCTTTTTCTTTTTGTGTATGGGCTTCGGGAATGAATGAATCATTGCTTGCGTTTCTTTCAGCATTTTCTATTGTCTTCTCCAACTCGTCATTTTCTGCAAGGAGTGTATCACTCTCTTGGGTCTCTTCTATATCATCTTCATCACCTTCCGCATCTTCATCTTGTAACTGGGATACATTTGATAAAGTTTCTCTTTCAGACATTTGGGGCAATATGAATTGTAAAATATCTTCATATTTGTATTTTCTTACGGGGCCAGCAGCCATACCTGTTGTAGTTTTCCTTTTCTTTAAAATTCTGCGAAACTGATCACGTATATGGATCCATTTTGTTTTGCATGTTATTGGCCCCCCTGCAATGAATAAACAACCATATACATTTTCTCTGTTATTTTATGATGAGTTACATAACAATCACCGGTGAATATAATAATATAATTTACTATTTTTTTGTTCCAGATTCCTAGCAACCGGGGATTCTTTCAAAACAATATCTTTCAGCTTTAGATTGGGTCGATCAACTGTGCAATCCATCATTCATCATACATGCCGAATAATTGTTGACATTCTTTTAGAGGAGGTTATGCCGGTGCCTAATGAAGATACATGGAATACAATTGCAGATTACTTTTGGAAAATGTGGCAATTTCCCAACTGCATCGGAGCTTTGGATGGCAAGCATTGTGTAATACAAGCTCCTAAAAATAGCGGCAGTCTTTATTGGAATTACAAAAAGACGTTTTCTTTGGTTCTTTTAGCTCTAGTAGATGCACAGTATAATTTTATTGCAGTAGATGTCGGGGCTTATGGCAAAAATTCTGATGCAGGCATACTTTCCAACTCAAACCTTGGGACGTCTTTAGAAAATGGATCAATAAATATACCAAGAGGCAAGAAGCTTCCAGGTTCTGATGTTGACCTACCCATGATAATTGTTGGTGATGAAGGCTTTCCTTTGAAAACCTATTTAATGCGACCTTATCCAGGAGCAAACTTGGATAATGAAAAAAAAATCTTCAATTATCGCCTTTCTCGTGCAAGGAGAGTTTCAGAAAATGCTTTTGGAATTCTTCAACAAAAGTTTCGTATATATACAAGAAGATTACAGGGCACACCTGAAAACCTTTCAGTTATTATATTAGCTACCTGTGTCTTGCACAATTTTATAAGACAACGTGAGAGATACGCCCATATTGCACGAGTATCAGATTCAGGTGATAGTACGTTAGAAACGTCCGAAAATTTACAAAGCTTACGTCCGACTAGAGGAAGAGCAACAAATGCAGCATTTCAAGTTAGAGATCTCCTTAGAACCTACTTTGTATCTCCAGCAGGTCAGGTAGAATGGCAACACAAAGCAACAGACCTATAGGGCACAATCTACATATAGACTAAAATATTATATCTACAGCTTTATAAGAATAAAATTGAATAAAATAGTAAATCAAAAGGTTCACTTACCTTCTACCTGTAGATCTTCTGCAATTTTTTTCCAAACCCTTTCTCTATACTCATTATTTTTGTATTTGTTATTACTGAGATCATAGAGTACGGGATAACGTCGCACTTCTTCAATAAGTTTCTCAACATCCATTTTAGGAAAGGTAAATATTCAAATGACGCTGAAATTATGTACCTACTACCTAATTGCACTAAAAACACATACTGGACCTATACGCGCAGCGGCACCGGCACGAGAAAAATTAAACAAAACTCGTCGGCTCGTTGTCGTTAACCGAATCTCGTAGTCGTCTCGTGTTCGTTACGTTCATGTGAGGCTGAATGTATTTAAACCTGTGCTATTAATTAAAAACGAGCGTCGCACGACACTCGTCTCGTGCACGTATCGTGCACGTCTCGTTTATGTGTGGCTAGACCTTAATTCTGTGATCGAAGATACACCTGCAATCACTACAGGCTTCATCACATTCATTACTTGCCTTTCTAATTCTTTCAGAGGTTTTTTCTTCGTGGTGGATTTCCATTCGTTCTCGCATTCGTTAAACGCTTGAAATATACAAATTCGAATTACGACCCAAATAGGTACATAATAAACATAGGTATAAACCACTTTTATTTGTTGAATAATACCTTCCTCCAATTGTCAACAGTTCGCGAAGGTCCTGTCCCAACGTTGTTTAATTTCACAACCATTTCGTCCCACAATTCTTTAATGATGTTAGGTGACATCCCCGGTTATAATTTACCCGTTATTAAAACATCGTGTTTTCGTATGTACTCCAAATATATTTCATATTGTTCACAACTCGTTTTGGGACCTCTCTTCGTAGTCTAGCAAAATATAAAATTATAACGTATAAATTAACATTTAAATACTAAAATATAAAGCATTTGTACTTATCTAAAAGTACAGCAAGCCTAATCAGAAATAAATAATCAGCAGGCGGATTCTGAATGATATCGTATCGAGCGACTCGATACAAGTACGCCATTTTTGCGATTCTAATTGCTATCGAGCAACTCGACTGTCGTGAAAAATTGTCCATTTTCGGACGACACCTCTCGTGGTGGGTGATAATTACATAAAATCAAACGTGTGAAAATTGTTAATATCGAAATTATGTAAGTTCATATTTATAAACAATCTTAGAATGTTGACTTCATTTAAGTATATAAATTACAGGGCGTTCAAGATAAAAGATGTACATTGGGAGATAATAGTTGATTTTATGGAAAATCATCGAGATTTTGCTACGGGCAAGATTATCCCGCAGGAAGGGAAACTTATAAGAGACTGTGGAAGGAGTTAACGCCCAAATTAAATAGTACAGGCTTAGGTGAGAGAACTGTAGCAAAATGGCAAAAGGTAAGTGTTGGACTATATAGCGCATTTTAAAGAGTTGCTTGCAAGCGAAAAATGGGACTCTGTATTCGCCCAGCATACCTTGGATGACAAATTTTCCAATTTTCTAGAGAAATTCCAATATTATTTGGACAAGGCATTTCCGATTGAAAGCGTGTACAAGAAGGCAACGACAGCATGTAAAACTAAACCTTGGATCACTAGGGACATCATAAATAGAGGCTCCCTTCTGCGTGAAATCTCTCTTATATGCAAACGTAGCGGTGACGCAAACTTAAAAATAAAATACAACTTACTCTACAAACACCACAAGGAACAAATTGAATCTGCAAAGAAAGAATATCACGACTCTATCTACGAGAACGCTCCAGTGAAGTCCAAATGCGCGTGGAAAATAATCTCGCAGGAAACCAAATGCCCTTCTAAGCATAGTGAATATCCGAAAGAATTCCGAGATGCCACAAACAACACTTTAGTTGGATATGCGGCCATCGCGGAGAATTTCAATACCCTTTTTATTTCCTCAGTAGAAGAGCTGTCTAGAACCACAAACCCTACAACTTCCAACATCGCTATCGGCACCAACTGTAAATACACCTTATTCTTAAAACCCATCGATGAATTAGAAACTGAGAATATTATTAGGTCAATCACCAATAAGTATTCTGCAGGAAGTGATGGAATTCCTTGTGCTATTTTGAAGCACATCACTAGCGATATTACACCCGTGCTGTGTCACCTAATAAATACATCTTTTGCAGATGGAACATTTCCAAAAGTACTAAAAACTGCAATTGTGATTCCGGTACACAAAAAAGGCGCCTCAAACGAATTTGGAAATTACCGACCCATATCTTTGCTATCTGCTTTCTCAAAAATTCTTGAGAAAGCGTTTTATGCACGATTAATGAACTTCTTACTACGCCACAAGATCCTGTATCCGCATCAATTTGGTTTCCGAAGAGGATTATCCACCCAAGATGCAGTCCTTTCATCTGTACGCTGTATCTTCCGAAATCTCGAATTAGGGAAAAAAGTCACTGGACTTTTTTTTGATTATTCTAAAGCATTTGATGTAGTAGATCAAAAACTCCTTTTACATAAACTACAACACTACGGAGTCCGGGGTATTGCTTACCAATGGATAGTTTCTTATTTAACCGGACGATCACAAATTGTCTCTATAGCGGCGGAAGGTAGTAAGTACAACTCGTCACGGAAAGAAGTGTGTATTGGTGTTCCTCAAGGAAGTACTCTAGGGCCTTTACTTTTTGTCATTTTTTTAAATAATTTAATAGACTCTTTCAACAATAACATTGAACTTCTGACTCTATTTGCGGACGACACTTCAGCGTTAATTACAGCTGATACGGTACAAGCGTCAACTGAAGGTGCAAACAGGTGCGCGTTAAAAATGGCGGATTATTGTCACCGAAATGGACTTATATTAAACAGTGAAAAAACTAACCTAGTGACTTTTTCCACCCAAGTGCCTAATTACAGTCTTTTAGTCAGACTTGACAATAAATGTATTCGCCAACATCAAACCATGAAGTTTTTGGGTATATTTATTGATTGCAATCTCACGTGGCACTCGCATATTGACTACTTGTGCAATATTTTGTCAAAAAAATGTTATGTGCTATGGCGCCTCCGTCATTCTGTTACTCTTAAAATATTGCTTAATTATTATTATGCCCACGTACACTCTATAGTGTCTTATGGTGTGGTACTTTGGGGTAATAGCTCGAAACTTAACAGCATCCTCATTATACAAAAGAGAATGCTACGGATAATTTGTTACAAACCTTACGGCTACCCATGCAGACAATTGTTCAAGGACTTGCACGTACTTACAGTGCCCTCGGTATATATTTTGCAGTGCGCGATCTATGTCCGTAAACATAAAATTTACCTCTCCACCGATAGGCAGGACAAATACGATCTACGGCGGGACGACCATCTACCGATACCGGCCCATCAATACACCTTGTCGGCAAAAAATTGTTATATCATGCCTATAAAAGTGTACAATAAATTGCCTAGAAACATTAAAAACATTTTATCAGCTTCACATTTTAAAAACTCGGTGACAAAGATGCTAATTGAAAAAAGTTATTATTCCCTTAAGGAATATTTTGATGACAGATTATAAACTAATTCGAATTTGTATGCTCTATTTCTTTTGTTATTTGTGTTTACTCACTGTATTTTTATTGTAATGACTTATCCCACAACGATCAAGTTCAAGGGACGAATAAAATTATTATTATTATTATTTATTATT